TTCTTTTTTCCCTGGTTTTTCTTCAAAGAATTCTATCTCTCTGTTATTCATCAATTTTTGTACCAAATCCCTAAACTCAGGACATAGTTGAATTTCATGCCCCTTCTCTTGATGATATTCACAATAATTCTTGCCTTCATTATGCTTTGGCATGAATTGTTGTGGAATTATACCGGCTAAAGAGAGTTGTTGAAATACCCAAACAAAAGGAGATTTAATTTCAGAAATGTCAGTTTTTGTTTTCTTTCTGTTCTCTTCCTGAATTGCATTCACGTTTTTATCTCCATAATTTGGCAATGGATGATTTGATGTAGATGGTGAATTGAATTCCAACTTTCCAGTGTTGATCAAATTTTGAACCACCCTTTTGAATGCCAAACAGTTTTCAATAGAATGACCCGTAATTCCTTCATGGTAAACACAGTGTGCCTTTACATCATACCATGGAGGGAATGGTGGTTGCATGGGAACCAAAGGATAGGGCCGTATGACATCTGCTTTTAACAACGAATCATAGATCTCAGCATATGGTACTGGTAAAGGTGTAAAAGACAACCTTTCATTTTCCTTTCGAGATCCTCTGGACTCTACTCGATTAGTGCTTGTTTCCTCTTTCTTAACCCTTGGCTGGGTTATTGTAACACTTTTCGATGAATCCTTGTTGTAAGAGTTTGCATTGTTGATTTCATTCTCTTTTTTTCGGTACATAGGTCTTTTGGAACTAGACCCTTCATTTGATTCAATTTTGCCACTTTTCAAGACATTTTCAATGAGTTCTCCATAAATGACCAAATCTGCAAAATTTCTGGTTGCATTCCCCATTAGATGATTTAAATAAGGAGCTTTCAATGTATGGACAAATATTACTGTGGCCTCTTTTTCTGACAAAGGTGGTTGAACTTGGGCTGCTGTGTCACGCCATCTCTGAGCATACTGTCTGAACGTTTCGTTATTCTTTTTCTCCAAATTTTGGAGAGTCCATCTATTAGGGACCATGTCTGTTACGTGGCGGTACTGCTCTAGGAATGCTTTAGCCAGATCTTTCCAAGATCTAATGTTGGCTTTGGTCAATTGAGTATACCATTTTAAGGCTGGTCCAGTCAAACTATCTTGAAAGCAGTGAATTAACAATTGCTCGTCTTTCACATATCCTGCCATTCTATGACAAAACATAGTAATGTGGGATGAAGGGCATGTGGTACCATCATATCTATCAAATTTGGGAACTTTGAACTTGATGGGGAGGATTAGGTCTGGAACCAAACTCAACTCACTAGCGTCAAACCCATAGAATGATTCAGTTATTTCCACAGATTTCATTCGTTCTTCTAAGCTCTTGATCTGTCTGGTCAATTCTTCATTTACTTTTTCTTTCTCATTCAGCTCATTCAAATCTGGGATTAGATGCTCAGCATTAAAATCCCCTATTTTCACATCTGATATAAGTGGATTTTTGCTTGAAGATGCAGGATCCTCTTATCGATTTTCATGTGGTTTGGCTTCTTGAAATGCTGATTTTTGCTTGAAGATGCAGGATCCTCTTATCGATTTTGATGAAGATGCTTTCCCGTATTAAAGCGCCGGTATGAAACCTTTTATGTCCTCCAGAAATGGCTACGGATCCAAACATATAACAAATGGGTACACCCTGAGAATCGTCCACCTCCTAGCTTTCTACAAGCATTTAATGATCTGAAAGTCTCTGCTAGAATTGCAGAAGCAGGATTAATCTTTTTTGGTAGCTGCTCAAACAAATCTACTACTGCAGCTTCAATATATCCCAATACTTTTGGGAAGATGACCATACCATACATACCCAGAGCAAATAGATCTAATCGGACTTTAGTGTCTGGATGACTCTGAATAAGTTCTTTAATGTTGGTCCAAGCAATACCTTCGCTTTCGCCTTTTTGTCTTGTACGGGATGCCACCCATTCTTCTCGTACACCAGCAATCTTTGCTAATTTAACTCGAAAGGGTTGAATTTTAATTGACTTTGAATAAATTCGATTCTCCAAAGCCCCTTCTATATGTAGCAAAGTTGTGTATTCTTCAATAGTAGGGACCAAGTCCTCCTTATTGAGAGTGAAGCAATTGTACACTGGATTCCAGAATTGAATTAGGGCTCGAAGTAAGTCATCATCAACTTCGACATAGAGCAAATATGGGATGTCTCCGTAAGTCTGATAAAACTGCAACTTTTTGTTTGAGTCCCAACTTTCCCAAATGCTTCGCAGATCTTGCATATCATTTCTTTTTAGCGAAACTGGAGCATAACTGGCCAAATCAGATATATAGTCTTCTTGCAGACTGTCTCCTCCTTGTCTTTGTAAGTCCTCAGCCCACTATCTTACTTCTGAGTTTAGAATTATTTGATTTGAACACTTTTTATCCATGGATGAAGGCTTTCCAATAAGACAATTAACACGAGGATCAATGCCTTTTATCCTGTATGATGCTATGCAAACAGAAAAAAAAGAACACACAAAAGAAATGAATTAGTTTACATAATAAAGAAATTTAATAATAATATCTACCTAAATATCTTTATTTAAACATGCTTTTTCATAATTTAAATAATTTAAATTTACATGTAATTTAATCAATAAGAAAATAAATAAATAAATTAAAAGGAAAGTTAGCATTCATTTCTCCTGTGTGTACACCTATTTTGGACAAAATTTCGGCATGGCTTCAGATTGGAAGAGTTTCTAGGGTTTATTATATGCAAGGTTTCAGATCTAAAGGTACCCGAATTGTCCTTGTTAGTGCCCCCTTGGGTTGCTAACCCTCAATCCTAGTCCATCACAGACTAAAGTGGATCGAGTTCAGTTCGAGGGGATACATTTCTCTATGCCTGACACGGAGAATAAATTCTCACGAAGACATAGAGCATATGAACCCCGAAAGTTACTTGCTAGGTCTGACACGGAGAATAAATTCTCACGAAGACGTCGCTTTCACTCCCACTTAAAAGGGACCAACTCAATTATAAAGCTTTATGTTATGCGATGCAAGTGTTGTGTGTGAGGAGAAATATTCAAAACTATGACAGAAAAAATAAATAATGAAATAAAATACTTGTAAGTAAAATGAAATATTAATATAAATATTATAAAATTAATAAGTATATAAAAAAATTTTTTTGAAAAGAAATAATTATAAATTAAATATATGAATTTTAAATTTATAATTAATAGAGACAATTTATAATTGATTTGAAAAGTTCGACCAGGGTCCCCAGCGGAGTCGCCAATATGTAGTAACCCGTTTTCGCCCGGGCACGAATTTTTTACTTGGCGGGAAAAGTGATGTGAATAAATGGTTTTGAAAATAATTTGGGAGTCGCCATCGGCCTTTTGGGTCAGGTAGGTCGAATACCTAAAAATTATCTTTTAACAGAGTTTTTAAGAAAACATCAGTTAAAAGATGAACTGATCTGCCTTTATAACCAAAAATTCTTTCTTTTTAATAATAAAAAGGGATTCGTGGTCGGTTACGTTTAGGGAAGGATTAGCACCCCTACAACGCCCAAAATTGGTACTTTTTAATTATAAATTGTCTCTATTATTAAAAATTTAAAAATTCAAAATATATTTAATTTATAATCCTATTATTTCAAATTTATAATTATATAAAAATATATTTATTTAAAAATATCAGAAAATGACTTCTAGGTATATTAAGACAGCTCTTTTCTTCGATATATATTATAATAATTAAAATTTTTTATAATATTTAATTTTAAAATACCAGAATAGGACATCCAGTTGTATTAAGACTGCCCTTTTCTTTAAAATAAATAAATAAATATTACAATAACTTATATATAAAAAAATATATAAAATATTATTTATTATATATATATTTATATGACTATATAATAAAAAATATTGAAATATATTAATAAATAAAATTAAAACAATAAAAATACAATTATATATTTAAAAGCAATAAAATAAATGAAAATATTTAAAATTAGTGACTAAATTATAATAAAATTAAAATTAAATACATAATTCATAATTAATTATTTAAAATTTCATGGATTAAACATGCTATTAATTTAGTGACTAAACTAAATTATAAAATTCGAATATCAGATTAAAATAAATTAAAAATATAAACTCAGGATTAAAATAGTAATTATTAAAATTAAAGGACTAAATATGATATTTATCCTTAATATATTATTTTAATATAAAGGACTAAAATAAATAAAACTAAAATTAAAGAACCGAATTAAAAGGATTATAAATTGATTTAGTGACTAAAATGTAAAGTTTACAAATTAGGATAACTGCGGACGGGATTTAACCTTTAAAAATTACACAAATAGCCCTCCCTGAAACGACGTCGTTCGGGAAGGGCTATTTAAGCCCGAAACCGGCTGGCCCTTCGGGCCAGCTCTCTCATTCTCTCTTTATCATTCTCTCTCTAACTGAGAGAGAATGAAAATGCTCTCCCTTCTCTCTAACTTCCCTCACCTGAGGGAAGCCGCTCACTGGGCGGCAGCCGTCACCCGCCGTAGTTCTCACCGCTGGCCACCGCATCCGGTGGCCGGAAAAATCTATTTTTACACCACAATGTAGATCGGACCGTCCTAATGACGGTTCCGGTGATATTTTCTTCTAAATAGCTCCCGATTGGAGCAAATCTAAGAAAGTACCTTCGATTTTCGAAGGTTTTGGTGAGATCCGGTGGTCGTGGCTTCCTCGGTAAGCTTCTCTCCTTTTTTTTTATTTGTTGTGTTGTTGCTGGTTGTCCTGCTTTTTTCTTGTTTTTTTTTTCTTTGCTCTGTTGGTTGCCTCCGTCTTCTTTGCAGGTTGGGTGATGGCTTTATACCCATCACCGGCGCTTGTCTCGGACCGGTCCGAAGGGTGGAGTTCGGTGAGTCACCGAGCTATGTGGTGACTCACCCCTAGAGCTTGCAACGTGTGTGGCTGCTCTAAGTCTTCTGGAGTCTTCATCGGAGGCGTGGCACTGGTGGAGCGTCGGCAATGGTGTTGGCAGCAGAAGAGGCGCCGCGTGGTCTTCTAGAAGCTATGGCGGCGGCTGGGACGTGTCCCTAGGGTATCATCACCCTAGGGTTTCCTGCTGGAACCATCTGGACCGTTGGATCTAAGTTAGATCCAACGGCTGAGAAGCAAGGCGATGGCTGGCTGAGATTAAACCCTAAATGGGTTTTGGGGTTTTTTTTTTTGTTTGGGCCAGTCTGTTGGGCCTATAATATTATTTGTAATTATTATTTTTTAATAATAATATATATATAATATAATAATAATAATTATAAATAATAATTATAGTAATAATAATAAAAATGGTTAAAAAAAAAATTAGTATCTTCAGTCATCTTGTAATAAGCAGTTTCAGATTTCTTACATATAATCTTTTTGATTTCGGAAATTGCTTCAAGTGTCATCGTGCCAACTGCTCTAATTCTTTCCATCAACCTTCTTTTCTTTGCTTTGGTAAACTCTCAAAATGTTGTCAATAATTTAAAAGGTTATTGTGCAACAAATTCCAAAAACCATGTTGTTATTCGTCCCGGAGATGTTGTCCCTAATGGTCTTGGTCAATCTGGTACATGCAATCCGCTGAATCTCGGTGTGTATCTTGTTGTATTGGGTTTGGTGAATGTTGAGCTTGGTGATGTGCCTATAAAACCATGTTGTAGCCTAATACAAGGTTTGGCTGATCTTGAAGCTGCAGTTTGCCTTTGCACTACGGTCAAAGCAAGAGTCTTAGGCATTAACATCAACCTTCCTATATCATTGAGCCTTGTTTTCAGTACATTTGCAGCCTTCAATAGTGCTATTTTACAATGTTTCATTTTATTGTGTGTTGAGCTTGCAATTGTTTATTTGTTGTATTTTATAATTCCTTCTCCACTAGGTCTTTGTACCGTTGCTCACTGATTCAGAAGGCTTTTTAACCTTCCCATTCATTATTATTCTACATAAATGTCAATTTCTACTTTATCACATTATATAATATTTTTTTCATTCAATTATTAAATTTGGTACATTACGCTTTTCATCAATCAAATTTGGCATTATTTCTATTTTGTTGAATAACTAGAGTCGATTTTATTCTAATCACTGACCAAAAATATTTATTAGTTAGGTCACTAAACTTTCATTTTTGGTGTCAAACAAGCCTTTAATCATTCACAACCAAATGAAGATTGTGATGTGGCCTGGTAAGATATCGTTCAGTCCACCAAAACTTATATATTCTATCATATTGGTTTTTGTTCAAAATAATTAATTAAATTTAACCCTCCATTTTTATACATTCAATCAATTTATTACTCCTTTCTTCTAATAATCTCTCTCAAATCTTAATCCACCATATATAAGAATTCTATCAATTTATTCTACAAATGCATCATCACCATACCTCAAATGAAAATATACATGTAATTTTGTAAACCAGTAATTGAAGAAAAAACATTAATTAACTATTAAGGGTACAATGCATGAGAAGAGAGAACGGAAAGAAGTGGTGAATTCATAAATAATTTTGAGGTGAGCAAATATATACTATTAATTCCTAACACAAATTGTTGTCATATTTTGATAATTTAAAATAAAATAATTATCCAATGATGCTAAATGAAAATTATTACACTTAAAATTAATAAAGATGATGGAAAGTGGAATATATTTTATTTAAATTTATCAAGAAAAAGTTGTTTGAATATATTTAAAGGTTTGATCTCATAACTGGAAAATAATTGAATATTATTTATCCTTCTTAAATTGGATTAGTAATTTTTTAATTAATGGTGTTTTATTTCAATTTAAACAAAGATAAATGCTTAATTTTTAGAGGAAAAACCGACATTTCTCTACTTCAATTTTAATGAGGAAACATTGTCCTACTTCATATTAGGTTGTTTTTTTTCCTCTTCAGTCGGAAGTAATGAAATGTCACTTTTTCAACCTTTGAAACCTTAATTCTTAGAGAGGAATATTGATTATCCCCACTATGATATGAAAGAGAGAACGTCATCATACTTCATATTAAGTTGTTACCTCTATTCAGTTGAAAATAATGTTCACATTTCCTCCCTAAACTTTTAGATGGTTAAATGACATAGTACTTGTTCGATTTAAAAAGTGGATCATTAATTAAATTAAAATTTATATCTTCATTTATCCATTGCAAAGATAATAATTAATTGATTAGGTATTAATTTTAAGGCATCATGGGGTAGGGATGGCAACGGGCCGGGTTCGGGCCGGGTATTGGTCCCCCGTCCCCGTCCCCGTTTAAAAAACCGGTACCCGTCCCCGTTTAAAAAACCGCGGGGATTTAAACGGGGATCCCCGTCGGGTAATCGGGGAAAACCGCGGGGAAACGGGTATCCCCGTTTAGCATAAACGGTTATTTAAACGGGTATTGGGCCGGGTATTGGGTCGGGTATTGGGTCGGTATTGGGCCGGGAATCGGGCCGGGTATATATATATTTAAATTAAATATATATTTTTTATTTAAATTAAATTTATTAATATTATATATATATATATATAAATAATTTTTTTAATATTTATCGGGTCGGGTATCGGGGCGGGTAATCGGGTAATCGGGGCGGGGATTACCAAACCCGTCCCCGTCCCCGTCCCCGTTTAAAATAAATGGGTTTTTCCCGTCCCCGTCCCCGTTTATCATCCCCGAACCCGACCCGTTTAATTCGATTTTCGGTTTTCCCCGTCGGGTTCGGGTTTTTTTGCCATCCCTATCATGGGGGTGTTAACCCTTCCACTCACGAAATTGACTTTTGAACTCATTGTTTTGGTGCGCAGACACATAAGTTATTCTAATAATTTTAAAATGATATATTATTAAAATAGCAAAATATTTTTGGGTGATTCAATCACACCTTAAAAAAGATTGACGGCGACTCCACAATATATATTTTTTAAATTTAAAAAGAAAAAAAATTTAGTCAAAACGATGATTTTGATTAAGGTATGTGTGCTTTTTGCTCCTGTTTCATTAGCTTCATGTTTGTCCGTGAAGTTCATATTTTTTGGTCGCTTTGATCATAAATGTGGTTTAGTATATGTTTTGGCTTTATTTTTGAAAGAGAGATTATATTTGTTTTGGAGTTTCTTGATGGTCGAATATAGAAGATGTTGATCTCTCATGGTGTTGATTACTTGATTATTTTAACGTATTGAAGATTTGTTTCAAATTGATCTATGATAGTTTGGTGTGAGCATGGTGTTTATTATTTGATAAGGTATGTTTAGATTAATACTATGTGGGTGACAATGTCAATGAGTTTTCATACACCGAAGAGGTTTTAACAACCCTAAATTAGGTTCGCTTCTATGGCGTGTCCTGATTTTAAGCATGTTTTTTATCAGTTTTGACTTTATAATCCATTTTCAATCTTAATATAAAGATTGTCGAGAAAAAAAGTAATAATAATTTGTAACAGTCCTGTACTTAAATTTTGTTTAACTTATCATTAAGAAAATTGTTTCACATATTATTTTTCCAACCCTAAAGATGATTGAACATCATCCATGCTTTAATCATGTTTCAAAGGAGGATCCAATGAAGTTTTCTATCACCAAGGAATCGGTACCCAATAAGATCATCAAGCATCCTCCATGGTTTAGATTTTTCCATTTCTTTTGTTATTGAATTATTTACTTCTAACTTTGATTTGTTTTTCAGATGGATGATTCAAAAACAAGGAATTGATGTATTGAGTTGCGAGGATAAGTTTCTTTCCAATCTTGAGATGAAATTGCCACTTTCTATTTTGCAAACAGATGGTTTGAAGCAAAGGCTATCCACCTACTCAAGAGTCATCATATGGAAGGGCACAAAGATTAAAGATGGTGTAACCTACCTACTTGAAGGAGTTCAAAGGTCAAGACTCTCCAATCACTCTCATGATGATTCAAAGGAACACAGAGAAGGAGTGCAAAGAACATATACCTATTCGGATGAACAACGTGGTAATGAAGTGCACAAGCAAGAAAAACTTAATTCCAAAGAATGGTGTTTCTGCAAAACAAGAATGAAGAAGTTCCCAGCTAAAAAGAAGTTGAGATTGTTTTTTTTTTTTTGTAGAAAATGTTGATTTGGGGACAAATCACATTAAAGAGAGAGGGAATGATGTGATCCCAATCAGCCCTAACTTTTTTCTTGATCTGAATAAATCATTGAAGTTCACCAAGGCTGATTCATAGGGAGTTCTACCTTACTTCATCCTATACCTGGTCATTTATGCACCATATTTTATCATATGTTTGTATTTACCTCTTAGGATATGCTTATCATATGATATCATTCATTGCATGAATTTATATGAATTTTATTAGTTGCATGACATTCATTGCATTTAATAAGTATGTTGTTCATTAAAGCATGCATTGCATTTATGAATGTATTTCATTTAGGGAAGTAGTTCATTTATGAATCGAGTTATTTAATAAACTACTTCATTCATGCATTTAGTTCATCAAAGAAAGTTAGTTCATTAATTAAATTGGTTCATTCATCATACTAGTTAATTTATTAAATTAACTCTTAATTATTCCTCTATCTCTTATCTTTCAAACACCTTTTGAATCACCTCAATCCGATATCGGGAGCTTGAGATACGATAGATTTACTGAAGACAGTGCAGGCTGGAATTTTCAATACGGGAATTTTATACAAGGATGATTTGGATGAGTTTGAGCCAAGGAAGATTCCTTTCATCTTCTACCAAGAGACAAGCCATTTAAGGTCATCTTAATTCACCAATTCAAGGCATTCAAGGTTGACGTTATCACCCATTGAAGGCCATTCATATTCAAGCAAGGGGACATCCAATAACACAAGACATTCATATTCAAGACATTCATATTCAATCGGACATCGGGAACACAAGATATGCTTTTTTAGTGAAGAAAGTGTGTGAAGAAAACTTGATATAGGCCCAATACAAGGACTTTAATTTATTACGAATTTTCAATTATTTCATTGAATATTTGTAATCAAATTCAGTTTTATACTTTCCATAGTTTATTTAGGGTGATTTAAGATCTTTTTAATATTTTAGAATTACTTTCTTTTACTTAGTACATCTACCATTAATGAAAAGATGTTTGGTTTTTTGTTTTCAGGGTTTTTTCGAGTCTATAAATACGCTCTCTCATTTTGTAATTGGATAGAGAAAGAGAGAGAGAGAAAAGAGATGAAAGAATCATCCATTGTAGTTCGAAGAGCAAGAGCAATAAAAGTGAGTTTTTTTTAATTCATTGTTATTTTTATTATTATCTTTATTATTTCGGTCGACATCATTCTTTTTCCCTAAAAAACTCTATGGGATGAGAGAAAACTGATGAACAACAAAAAGAATCTTGAATAGATATTTCTAAATCAACATTCCATGAGAATTCTCAGTGAAAACTAACGATTTCCTTTTTTATATTTTTATTACTTTTGTGTTTATTTATTCGACCTTGATTTTGATTGAAAACCTCATTGAATGAGAAAACCAATGAATAAGGGAAATACTTTCAATTAGATCTTCATAAATCAAGCCTTTTTTTAGGTTTCTCAATGAAATTCGGTAGTGGATTTTGAATGAAAAATTATTTTTTATTTATTTATCTTGATTTAATCTTAGATTTGTTTTAGTTTTATATTTGGTTAAATTATCCAATGACACGATTTAAATCCCTATGGGATCCACATATTTTATGCGAGTAGGAGATACTTAAAATTGTCATTCTTATTATTTCATTTTTTAAATTTATTTTATTATCCATCCTATAAATTCTTTCTTAATTTATCAGTTTTTTAAAAAAATCATATTTAATTTTTCTTTAAAATTTGTTTCCCATTAATTGCTCTTTAATATTATTATTTTATATGACAAGTTATTGGCAGGTGTCGTCTTACT